ATCTAATCTTTAAATAAAATCAACATATAGTAAAAATTGAATTTAACACATATTTAAATGTTACCTCCAATACGTATGAATGGAATGGACCGAAAAGATGATCGTGTACGGACGGAACGGATCCGAGAGACGATCGTGCTGATAACGTGTTGTGAATTATTATAGATTATACTACTAATCTATATATGATGGAGGTATATGTGTTTACACTTTATATGATCTAGATATTAAGTGTATCTTGATCAATAACAAACAAAGAGGAAAACCTTATAAGATAGATATAAAATCTTTGATTTCTTATTCATGTGTTTGTTTGTTTCTCTTATGATCTCACTCTCTTCTTCTTTACATATATAGGGAAGAAGATCACATAGACAATAGACACTTGTACATGAAAATTGATTAGTGTCACATTAGGAACACTTGTACATGGCTAAAACTTCATTAGTGGCACTTATGTGCCAAGTTGATGATGATACTTGTCTATGTGATTGTGATGAATAATCACCAAAATATAACACATACAAATTTATAACAACAGCTCACACATTTGCATTTCTTTATCAAACAAGTAAACAAACATCAAATATGGAAGGGCTCTCTCTCTCTCTCACATACACACACAGATAGTGCACAACCATGCTAATTAAATTGATCGATTTCCACTCCTTGTTCTAGGTAGAGCTCTGACCGCCAATGATATGTGAGATTTGTAGACCTCTACTAAAGGCTTGGTTAAAAAGTATCCTGGTCTGAAACTCGGACACAAACGGGAACCAAGCCAACAATCCTACCGGAATGAACAAGAGAAAACCCATCAGAAGGTCATAGCCCCAAGCCAGGGTTCTCACGGATGACCAGATCCATAGTCTTTGAATCCACTGCTTACAAGCTTGAGAAATCTACAGTGAAAAGTAAGGAAAAGGTAAATATTTGAATATTTATATGCTGCATCAAGACTTGATATACCAAAAATATCTCAAAAGAACCAGACAAAGATAGTTAATTGTAAGAGGAATTTGATGGAGTAGAATGACTTACAAGTAGTATTCCCCAGCCCGTTAGGATGAATGAAATCATGCATAGGAAGATGTCTTTGAATGTCAGAAGACGAAGACACATGAGAGTAATGAGAATAGCCAAAAATGCGAGAAACATAAAAATCTTGGTGATTCTACAAACAAACTGGGAGCTTTTGCCAAGGCCTCGACTTGCCCAACCCAAAATCTGTAACAATTACATTGGAAAGAAAGGTCATCTTTTAGAAATCTTGTATCATTATTATTCTATTTCCATCAAACATAAAGAAATAAAAAATCTTGTATCATTATTATTCTATTTCCATCAGTTCACATGTTTAGCACCCTTTGGGCCATATTAACCCATTTCCATCGACCACAGAAAAATGTCGACAACAGAAGATATTTCATCAGATGAACCCTTGCATGTCTAATATCCTATATGACGAAACTCAAAATGTGAACTGTTCATAAAATTACATACCGTCACTATGAGCATAATAATCAAGATCACCAACCATGAAGCCACATAGACCTGAAACATGGATAGAAAACAGTTAGTAAAGTCAAGAGACTCACAATTGGATGAAAGTGATAAATTCGAAGCAACAAACCCATATGCTGTGATTGTCTTCGAAAGGGGTAAGTTTATACACGAGCATGTACTGAAAGATGAAGAAACGTGAAGCTAAAACAATCTCAAGCATGAAACCAAGTGCATCCGAGTGTTGAAGATGTTCTTGTTCTTTCTCCCACCACGATTCCCAACTCTTCTCAGGGAGAGCACCAATTCCCAAGTAATCGTATTCATATATCCACTTGGTCCAGTGTTCCCAGTCTTCAACAATCTTGTGCCACTCAAACCCAGAGGGGTTGAACAAGAAAGGAGCGAAGAGCCATGACCCCACCATGAACCATATCGAAAATGTAATAAGAAGATATGTAACTGCACCCATATAGGCGCGTCCAAACATGTGGTACATGAGTAAAAGGATTGCAAGCTCGAAAGCTTTCACGAAATGACTTCGAGAGTACATCCTGTAGTTTTCAGCAAACTTGGCATGAAACACCACAAAGCCACGACCAGTGGCTATGTATTTTGCGCCTCCATGCATCAATGTCCTTCCATAATAATGTGCTTTTGTCCCAAGTTGAAAGGTGAAAAATACGGGAGCAAGTTGTAGTTGCATCAATACAAAATCGAATAGCGCGTTATGGAATCCCCTCTCAAGGCCAATCACCATTATCATAGGCATAGCCATCAAGAAACCCATTTGAACGATTGATTGGGAAGCAATGGCTGCCTGAAGAGCTTCGGTGTCATGAATAGCTGGATGGTTCCACATTTCCTCTTCAAGCCCGCTAAGAGCGAGATAAAGTCGTCCATAAAGAAATACATAAACCGTAAGCACCGTCAACTGCACAGAAAAATGGTTTAAGATTGAGACACATATATAGTGATTGTGAGATAAGTCGGGAGAATTTTTAACTTACCATGCTACAGAAATAGAAGCCAACCGTAGTGAAATAACAAGACAACATGCGGAAGAAATCAAATCGGTGGCCCAGTCTATATAGGTCACGGCTTAGAGTTTGCTCCCCACTTCCATTAGCTATCTTTGCCTCAAACATTGAGATCTGGTTGAGTCCCACATCTCTCCCTTTACCAACTTGGATGTATTCATGATGGGTAATCCTGCCTTCACGTAGAATAGAATTGAAACCTGAGAACAACAAAGAAGGAATAAAAAACAAAATAAAACGTACAGTACTAGATCATATTTACACAAATGTGTCAGCGGGAGAAAAGGAAATAAAGCAAGTGCCTGCAAATATGTCTTCACTGAGATTAATGGTTTTAGAAGCTTTGGAGACACCCCCTCTGGTAAGGTGAAACAACCGATCAAAAACATCTGGATGGCCGTAATGAAATCGTACCCTGGAACCAGTTGTTGAAACAAAATCTCAATTTTGAGATAAAAATCTGGATTTACCTATTCAAAACTGAGAAAAGAGACTTACTTCAAAGGGTTAGCTAAAACCCTCTGCCCAAGAGTAACAAAGCTATTCTCCTGATTTGACATAAACCATGCTAGGGATGAAACACTTCCACAAGAAACGAGACAAGTATGAGATCATTTTGTTCACAAAGGACTAAAATTGACTATCTAAAACACACAAGTGTCATACCTTCCAGTGAAAATATGCTCTCTAAGTCCAAGTATTGTAGGGCTTTTTTTCCGTGGAATCGAAGCAGTCCCATCCCTGCTGCTGGAAGGATTGAGATTTATTGCAGGACTTTTTACGTCTCCATGATCTTTTACAAATTCTTGCAGCAAGTTCCTCATTTTGAAAGCTTCCTCCATGTAATTATCCTGTTTATTGATTTTTTAAGATCTTAAAAGATCAGCAAGTGTATTATTATCAACTTGTAATTATCCTAGCTAATAAGGGCTCACCTGGTTCATGTCTATTGTCTGCAATGCTTCTCCACGTGTAAAAATGATGGCATGGTTCTGATTTTCCGGCTTCCCTTCTCCTATCATTGGATCTCCAGGTAGCTTTATCCGATAAATGACCTACATAAAAGATATATA